TTTTATTTTATTTTATTTTATTTTATTTTATTTTATTTTATTTTATTTTATTTTATTTTAATTTTATTTTATTTTATCTTTTTGCTTCTAATCTCCATTTCAAGTGTGTAATAATGTAAGAGAGGTTTGTAATGTAGAATACTTACCACGTACTTTTTTTTTTTTTCCTCCTTGGCGTTTTTGGGCCTCAGCTAAAATTGAAACAGAAAGGGACAGAAATTATAACATTCTTTTTCAAAAATAAAGGCTATTTTCTGTCACCTAAAAGACAAGGATACGAGAGTGTATGACTTCTAGGAATGAGTGGGTATGTCCCCCTGTCAGTAGTAAAAACCTTAAAAGATGTATGTGTTGCAGACCTCAAGAAATGTTTCAGGGTCATGAAAAGAGTTTTTACTTCAGCTGATTTATATGTGCAATTTCAATAGGGTAGCCTGTTCTAGACTGCTTCCGGGGATCCACTGGTTAGGTCATGATGAAGCTGGTAACAACCTGTCAGTGTGCAATTTGGTTTGGAGGTGTGTTATCAATTTCCAAGGTATCTAATATCCCTGACTGAGCCGGCAGAATGTGGGGCAGTCTGCATCCAGCGATCATTGTGCCAATCTCTCCCACATATTAGGGTGCTGCCAGCTCTCCTCCCCAAACTGCTTCCATTTAAAACTTGCCAATACCAGCGACATCTGGGTGGCTCAGTTGTTTAAGTGTCCAACTCTTGGTTTCAGCTCAGCTCAGGATCTCAAGGTTCATGAGTTTGAGTCCCATGTCCATCTCTGTGCTGATGGCGTAGAGCCTCCTTGGGATTCTCTCTCTCTCTCTCTCTCTCTCTCTCTCTCTCTCTCTCTCTCTCTTTCTCTCTCACTGTCTTCCCCTGCCCTTCTCTCACTCTCTCTCTCTCAAAATAAATAAACTTAAAAAAAATTTAAAAATAGAAGTATAAAACTTCCCAAGAACATCCCAAAACAGGTTGAATGAGGATTCTCCCTTATATACTGTGCCTGGTCTTAGTTTTATTGGCATGTTAATTGAAATAAATTATTAATGAAATTTTAAGATTAAAGTAAACCATTAAAAATAGCCAGTACATGTTTGTTTTATTTATCTATTATTAAAGAAATAGTCATTGTCTTAAGAAAAAACAAATAACAACAACAACAATTGTGGCAAGCAAGCTATTTCACAATCGAATTCTTGACATGAAGGCTCTTTGTGAAACTGTGTTTTGCCACCTAAAACTTCCTCTTCCTTGTGGGAAATGTACTTCCACTTAAAAGCTGAAAGAGAAAATTCTAGTGCTTAAACAAGTGAAACAGTACATTTCAAGATAATAACACTATATAATTAATACGTAAAGCTCTTTACATTTATAGAATACTTTATCCACAATACTTCATTGAATTTTGACAAAAGTAGAGCAGTATTATTATATCATAGGAAAAGCACTGATTTGAGGGCAGAGGCCTGTATCCAATTCTTAGATGTGGCATTTTTGTTGGCCATGTTGCCCTGGACAGTTTTCATGCCTTTTCTGACCTCTATTTTCTTTGTCTAAAACTGGTGGCAACTGTTTTTATTCGTAATAAGTAAGCTGAGTACAGGATCTATGCCTTATTTATCTTTGTGTCCACAGGTCCTAGCCTAGCTGCTGACAATAAGTGCTTCATGATAAGTAAATAAGTCTGTGAGGAATTATTATCTTCCATTTACAGATACGCAGAGTGAGTTAAAAAGTTTCAGTGACCTAGCATTACACAGCGAATAAGGAAAATGCCATGGTTGGTTGTCAAACAGGATGAAATTCCCAGAATTCTGACATATGTGGTGTCCAAAAAAGAAACATTAGTCACTGTGGAGGAGAACATCCATGTGTATATAGGAAAGTAGATTCTGAGAGCCTAGACTTCAGGGTGTTCCACGGGAGAACCGTTTTATCCCCCCTCCTCCCAGCGGATTCTTACAATTAGCAACAAACACAATGATGCCATTCCTCTTGGTGGAGATAAATATAGAACAGGGGTAGCACATCGTTTCCCATTTTGAAATGACAGACATTTTTTTTCCTGAGTATATTCTACGATTTTAGCACAGAGACTAAATATAAAAGAAATAATATTAATTATCACTCATATATGAGCTAAGCACTGTTGCAAGCATTTTGGATACGTTCTCTTCTTTAATCCACAACACAGTCCCATAAAATACTAAGATTATCTCCACTTTACAGGTGAGGAAATTGAGGTATGGCGAGGTAAGGTAGTTTGCCAAAAGGCCCAGAGCTCCTAAATAGCAGAGGCAGGATTTGGTCTAAGCAGTGTGACCTAAGAGCCTTGCTCTTAACCTCTATGTTTTACTGCCCCAAGATAATAAATAGAGAAATATAGGACACACAAAAAAGATCCTGATATGCACTTCCAAGTCCAACTGAGCTCAGCAAGAACACAAGGACTAGAAGAATAAACTGTGCCTCAGAGAAAGACCAAAAAATGTCTAGAAAACATATGGAAAGTAATTTCTTTTTGCTTCTATTTTTCTTATGCAACAATTTTCTATAACATGTGTTCAGATAAGCATTTAACTAAATATATTTTTTTCTAAACTTGCATATGACTAGAATAAATACGCTGAATTTTCAAGGGTGGCAGAAATATTGATTCTGTGACAACTGTGTTAGCCCAGGTTCCCTAGAAAACAGAGCCTCGGAAAGGAATTCAAAATGATGAAGCTTTCTTTGGGATGTACAAAAGCAGGGCATCTAGACTAAGGAAAAATGGAAGAAGGTAAAGCAATATCACAACCTAGTGGTACTTGCTCCTGCTTTACATGGGCCACAAAAACACAGTAGTTGAGAGATGTGTCCAATAACCATGCAGAACTTCTCCAAATGGGCTGAATGGAGAAAGCATGCTTTGAAATCATTTATGGGGAAAAGGGGAGAAAAAGGGATTTCTCTGTGCAACTCTCTCCCATCTCTGGTTTCCCAGTGGCCAGTGATTGTGGAATTGTGAGTTAATTCCCCCTTGTTTCCAAGTTGAATGGACTGGCACCTTAATGACCACATGATATGCCAACTTTCACATTCAGCAGTGTGGTAGATCAAGTCCAGAAATGATGGAAGTGACAAATTCTGAGCCCATAGCTAATGGACCTGAATGAGTGGAGGTGAACTTGGCATTCCCAAGGCAAGTGCCCAGTCAGAGCTCAGGGATGGCAGCCTGGTCCAAGAGGCAGATGAGGCTAATGGAAACTGACACGTTCCTTAATGTTTGTGTGACTTTTAGGAAGTCAACTTTAACTCAGATGAACAGAATCAAAAGTCAAGCCCACTAGGAATGAGCCATCTCCTTTTTAAGATACGACAACATCTAGGGTGTAGGGTATAGAGGAAGAATAAATATACACATACACAACACACATTTATGATGTACACATATTTAGGTATATTATTTATAAAATTTCCTTCAATATCACAAAATATTCAGTACTGAATGTTATAAGCCAACTACAACCATTGGATTTTTAGATATATAATTCTGAAAAGATATGGGTATTCAGAGCCAGCATTCCATCAGTGGTAGACAAGAGCAGGCTAGTCCTAATACAGCAGGAAGAAGAATGGAAAAGCCACTAGAAAGGAGTAGAATGTTAGGCTACATCACAGGACAAAGACCAGGAAACAGGTGGGTTGTGTCAGAAGATGAAGAAAAGGGTTTTCCTGTTGGTGGGCGAGGCACAGTATCCAGAGCATTGGGTAGCAGATAATGAATGGTAGTCCAAGAAGGCAAATATTCTATGCCAAAATTTATGGATCTCACAATCAAAAATTCTAGTATCACTTTATTCTGATGAGACCTATACACTAGATAGGAGCAGGGCAAATATCTACGTATGAGAACTGGACAGGGGTTGATCTCAAATAAGCAAGCAGGACCTAATGAACAAGGAGGACACCCACAAGGCTTATTCAGTTTTGAGTCTTACACTGTGAGGGGCTCCCTGTCTAGGAGGAGTAGCAGCCCCTGAGCATAAGAAAGAGCTTAGTGTACCAGTGATAGCTAGGTATTCCTTCTTGGAGAGATTAGAGGAGTGTGGGGGCAGGGAGTCAGATTAAATGGCCAGACAAGTCTTTTAATTACTAACTTTCCTGAATTAGAATACTGTGTTCTTTCAGCAAAATGTACTAAGCACTTATATCTGATATCCAATACGTATTTCAGACTAGCAACAAATACAAACATTGTACAATTTATTGGTTTTGATAGTCTACTCTAACATATCTCTACTTGAACATATTTCTCATGATCATGGAATATATATGTATGTGTACATAGATGTACACATTTTCATTTTAATTTAATATTACTCTATAAATTTGTCCAATAATGGTTACCTACCTTCTGGACCATTGTGCAGTATGGGTTGTACTTATTTCACACTCACATTCACCTGTAATCCCTTCCTTCTTCCTTTCCACCCCCCATCAAGTGTAATGCAATCAATTCCTTAAACCATAGATGATAGAAATAATGTATACAGGTATGTAGCCATTTCCCCAAATTTATAAATTGGGTGCCAGGTTGAAAATAATGTCAGGTATCTGCATTTCTAATTTAGTGTTCTCCAAGGTAGCCTCTGACAACTGGCAAAAGTATCCTGCTCTGACAGTCTGACCCTTACACTCCAATTAAATATAAAAACAGATCTGAATCTTTTTCACCCAGTTGTACTGTCAAGGCTAGTATCACTTGACTGTCACATAGAGCTCTTTAAATCAGCCTGCCAAGAAAATATGATTGTAGTACAGATTTTAGCATTCAGAAATGTTCACTCCCCTTTTACTTACACAGATTTTAAGGGTCAAAGCTATGCATTTTTATCAGACATTTTATTATCTTTCAACCTTTGTGAAGATCAATGTATTAGAATAGAGGAAGAACTTTTTCTCCTTTACTGCTGAAGTGATTTGGTACAAGGGAAATACTAATGAGGATTTTTTTTTATTCCTTACTGGAAGTTCCCTATGGACAGAAGGAGAAAGTTTTATTAAAAAGATGGGTGCAATGTTTGAATTCCATAATACTTCTGGAAAGTAAGCATCTGGTCAAAGTAGACGAGCATCTAGAAAAGGGATAAAAGTGTGGAGTTTTGAATTTTCTTAGAGATATGATGCTTCCAAGTTGCAGCATGTTTCAGCAAAAATTTAAACCATAAGAACCCTGACTTATAAGTATAAAAGAGAGAAACTTTTCAAAGTAGGTTTTTTTCCATTTATTTTAAATGTAATATAGTTCTTATTATAATGGCCTAATAATTATCATTTTTAGCATTTTCTGTCCTATTATGGATACAGAAAGCTAATCACTATTTTCCTTCTCATTGTCGTCCCAACCATTGTAATCCCAATGTTTATACTTTTAGAAGGTGGCTTGCAAGTCATTCTGGCTTCAACTCCCATGGGTTGACTGAATCAAATTATTTTAGAGTGAACTTCATTTAAAAGAGCAAACTATTAAAATTTCTAGGTTTTCCTCTTCCAACAAACAAACAAAAATCCTAATAAGTAAATCCAAGTCTAATACATTTAGGCTATTATCCCCATTGTATCATCAACAACACAGGGACTCACTGTACTAAATATGTCTCATTCTCCTTAAATTAAGAAAGTTCATCTTTCTTTGCTAAGAGATATAGGCAAGGGAGGGTGGGACCATTTGAGGGTATGTGAAACTGAAAGATTGACAGCAGTGGCTGAAGTCAGGCAGAAAGCAGACAGCCCTGGGGAAGCATTGCTGACAGCAACACTAATGCACTACAACGCTGACATGCAACTTCCTCTAGATTCCAGAAAAAAGCCATTTGGGAAGAGCCTGTCAATAATGTAAAACTGGGCCAAATGGTTCTGGTTGTGGACTGCTAGCAAATGTCCACCCAAGACTAACTGGAGATGACCAAACTCATGTTTCAAATGAAAAATATAAATATAGCCTTCCTCAAATGAAAGGAAGTTTCCTGCAAATTAGAATGCTATTTTTTAAAAAGTATATTGGGTTTAACATCTCAGGTATTTTTCTACAACTAGACCTATTTTTTTTTCTTCCTGAATTCTCTGGGCTCTGGTTTAAGTTCAGTTTTGTTTACCAGCAAGATATGAGAACAAGTTTAATGCTGTGAAAGATGTTTTACTTAGAGCAATAATATGACAAGCAGAACTGAATGCATAGCAACTTGCACATTACATAAAGCTTTCCAGCCAACACTGGCTTTAAAATCATCAGTG